CGCAGATTAACAGCTGTAGATTGGCCAAACCTCACAGATTAACAGCTGTAGATTGGCCTAACCTCACAGATTAACAGCTGAATATTGGCAGAAACTCGCAGATTAACAGCTGTAGATTGGCAGAAACTCGCAGATTAACAGCTGTAAATTGGCCAAAGCCTGCAGATTTTTAAAGATGTAGAGGTAATAGCTAATAAAAATATAAGTTTCATTGATACTGTAACTCTATGGTACCTTTATTTTATTCATAAATACCCGTGCCCACACCCCTGAAATGATAAGTTTTATTTATTTTTTTCCACCCATAGATGTAGGTTTTATACGACCCGACCTGTTGCTGGTCTCTGGTCAGGTAGCATGGGGGTTTTCTGCAGTACATAGCAGGGATAGAGTTTTAGGTCCAGTCTGATGGCTGCAGATTCTCCTGCAGGATCTTCTGCTGAAACGCAGCATTTCCAGTTTCATCAGTTACTGCAGCTCCTCCAGGCCGTGAAGCAGCAAAGCAGCCGCTGTCTTTTCTGTAGCAGAGCTTTTACTTTGGTCCAAATAATATCAACCTTTCAGTGTTTTCATGAAATGAAAGTTTGCTGTGGTCCCTCAGGTCCACCCTGAGCTCTACGTCGACACGTCCAGAGGAGACAAACTCAAAATTAACATCGACGTCATTTTCCCCCACATGCCCTGCGCCTGTAAGTTCTGCCTGTTTTAAAAACTTCTGTTCAAACACCGACTGGACTCGGGTTCATGAAGCCGTCTCTCAGATCTCAGTATAGATGCGATGGACGTGGCTGGTGAGCAGCAGCTGGACGTGGAACACAACCTGTTCAAGCAGCGGCTGGATAAGGATCTCCAACCGGTCACCGACGAGGCAGAAAAACACGGTAACCTCTCTGCGTTTTGACCTTTCACCCTTTGGACTGTGATCAACCTGTTAGACAGAAAGCTTCAGATGCAGCTGTTGGTTCTGGTTGTAGAGCAGAAATGTTTTGTTTCAATGAAAGATTCATGTTTAGGATGTTTGGCTGAACACAGAGCTGCCAAGTAACAAAGTACAAATACTTCCTTATCTTAAGTAGAAATGTTGGCTATAATTTA